TAAAATGCAATGAGGTGACTCATGCCCCCTATCTCAGAGTCCAAAAATTCAGATTCCCCATTAGTCCTTGAAAGCGATTACACTCGATTTTTTCATGTTAGAAAGTAAAAAGGAGGAACAGAGCTGCTTAAGCTCTTTGAGGTAACAACATTCTAACTTGGCTTAAAGCTCACAAGTCAATTTTGCCTAATGACCTTTTAAGATTTAATTTAGCAAGTGTTAAAGCGATTATTAATAAGGAGGCTTTCTCATTCATTTGTGTGTAATGTGTATCCAAGATTACTTATCATCCATGAATCAGGAAGTAAGGCTGGTATGCTGTTCAATGTCGTTAGCATTATCCTGAAGTCAAAACTCCACTTTGCCTTCTGAAAGTTGTGAAAAATGCTCATACTACTAGTTCTGGTTTTCATGCTTTTAAGTCAATAAAAAAACAGTCCTGAGCCTTTAAGAAGCCCAATATTACCTTTCTCCTCTTTAAACAAATAAGCCTTGAAGTGTTTAAAGTTTAGATGCTGCTTTAAAAATTTCTGGCCGTGGTGTTTGAATACTACAATCTACAGATACATTTACTGTTTATTGAGCCATATGAACATCAAAAAGGCTAATGCAAATTTTCAAGCACTATTCACATCACTGCCTTTTAGAGCACTGTCATTATATTCAATTATCCAGACCATTATTCTGAGCCTTTCTAACATCCTCCACAGTGATTGTCTGAAAAGTTTGTGGAAAAAATAACTGGAAGACTATTCAAAAAACAAGATGAAACTGTGCTTAGTCTTTAAGTTACACACAAGTAGTATCTTGTTGACAACTGTAACTCTCATTGAAATGTATAAATATGATCAGACTTTTGTGTCCATCCAAAATCCATAAAAGCTTTTTCATAATAATTCTGTGAATCGTAATCATTTATTTTTTGGGTGAGTTTGGTGCATTTTTTTAATCTGATGTTCCAGGAATGCAGCAAAATAAGTTTCTTATTTCCTTCACTGATCGGAAGGTTGGTGGTTCGAATCCTGCGCTTGACATAAAACATCATCGTAGAGCGGTCAGATCCACTGACCCACAGATGAAACCTGTTGTTGTGTCCTTGGGCAAGACACTTAAACCACCTCAGTGTCTGTGTTCACTGGAGTATAAATGTGTGAGTGTGAATGGGTGAGCGGTTTCAAGATGGAAAAGCACTATATAATAATGGGACCATTTACCATTTATTTCCTCCAACAGCAAAACTTAACCCATGAGAGAGTATTTGTTGAAATATATTTATGCATCTATTTCCTAAGTTTTACACAAGCTCAAATGTGCACTATAACTTATCTGGTGGTGCCTATCTGCTGCATGGTTGAGGGTGTCTCCATGGAGTTGTTGTTGTTTTCCTGGGATGTTCTGCAGTATGGCATTAAATGTATCTATCTTCCATTCATTTAAGATAGATTGCATCTTCACAGATCTTACCTGTAATTCAACCTAGCAGCATCACCTGCTTGTCTCCATGGAGATTGGTGTGTTAAATGCCATCCAGTGGAATACTACAGGCAACGCAATAACATCTCCATGACAACAAATAGGTAACATACCCTCCAGCAGAAAAGTCACACAGTGCATCTTTAAATCTAAACCCTAACAACTACCTGTTGACACTAGCGCAGACTGGGGATGACTGTATTTATAAGACAGAAGAGTACGTGAGCGTGTTTTGTCAGATTTTTCACTTTCCTTAAATGTGAGAGAGCCTTGTCACTTCAGGTGTTGTTGCGTCTCCATTGATTCTAATGCGCTCTGTCAGCTCCAGCTCCCATGAGCCTTTGCAAGTGCCCTGAGTACCAAGGCTGTGGATTCTTTATTGACAGAATGCAATGAAACTGTGCTCGGACATTGAGTGGCTGCAGGCACCAACTGTGGGCACGACAGAGGTTAAATCAGATCTACTACGGTGCTCTGAACTGTGCTTTTGCTTTTGGCTTATTTTAAGGTGACATTTCTCCATAAGAGGGTTAGCTCATATATGTTTAGTGCTTAAATTTCTCTTCATCATCTTATTTAAAAGCAGTGGGGAATATTTGATAGCAACTTTTCTCTATTTTGACAAGAAACACAATTTATTGAGAACCAAAAAATGGCAGGTGAGTGTAATAGTATATTAAACTCATCTATCATACATTTATTTAATGATGGTGTTTTATTACTAAAACGGCTTGTGCTGATGGTGTCTCTTTAGTGCTGCTATAATGATAAATAGATTATTTCACACACCTTTACTGAAAATGATTTTGTTATTCTTTTTATTATTTCTGCATCAGTTGTTACATTATTGTTAAATTGTGCTTGTGTCTGCTATATAGTTATAATCTATGATCCCCCCTGCATCATGATGTTATAACTTGCACATTTCAAATTGCAATATTCATCGAAAATGACTTAATAAAACAAACAAGTTTGCTGACTTCTGTGATTCCCACTGGGAACTGATGTCACCTCAAATGTCATCACAACAAAGAGTCATGCAGCTGTCCGTACCTCAGGTAGATAACTGCACAACATGCTAGTGAGTAGCGGATTTTTTTCATCTGTGCAGTACAAGTTCGGGTGAGTAAATGGTGAGGGGGAACATCTGTAACATGGTTAGATGCTCTGAAAAATCTATTTTGCAGAATAGGTCTGCTTTACGTTACTGATAAAAACAAACAAACCCATTAATGTTAAAATATCTATATACATTACTACTAAACTACTAGTAGTAAAATGTCCACACACCAAGTAATATTAGAACAATCTCTATATTCACCAAACCTTGGACCCTTTGTGCTTGGTATTGGTGAGGTGGTAGGGTAAGGAGGTCATTTTCCATTGTGCTCCTATAACTTTAGCTGTTTTCATCTATAACTCAAACAACAAACGCCACTTAGTGAACATTCTCAAAATGGCGTCATTGGGTTTGACCTGATCTGAATCTAAAGTAAAGCACCAGTTAAAGCAGAAGAAGGAGCAGGGAGCTTGCTGTCTGCACGCAGGGGTCAGAGAGAGAAGTGAGGGGCCAGGCCGGTCAGACATTTTGTGTTTGTGTCCAGCTGAGTGCTTCTATTGCAGCAGACCACAACATGCTGACAAACATGACCTTTAGACTATACAGATACTTCACAGAGATATCACTGGATAAGGACGATTGGATGTAGTGCGTGTTCAAGAATAAAATGTATCTATTAGAATGGTAATGGGAGATGGGAGGTTACATACAGTACATTCATACAACCAAAAGTGAACCTTAACATAGAAGTAATGGTCATTCCTGTCTGAATTATTCATTAAATGGTGGAATCCAGATAGTTTAGTTACACACTATATTATAAACACACCAAGTGCATACACAAAATTTACTTTCACATCTAAAACATTTTATATTCATTTTATACAATACTGTTGTTCCCAGAAAGCCTAATATATATCTATTATAATAGATATATATATAGGCTTTTTTGATTGACTTCACTGTTAAAATGGCGATGCTGCTGCGGTTGGCTGCACTTACAGGCAAAAGGTGTAATGCTAATGTACCTTTTTATCATAAACTTGATGAAGAGAGAAGACTGCGATGGGTAGTGGCAATTAAGTGAAATAAGCTGGAAGCCCTCTCAGCATTCACGGATTTGCAGTAAGCTGTTTTTACAAGGTTAGTGAATCCTAATGTAACAGATGCATCACATTTATGTATATAGTTTATGTGAATGTATGACTGATCACATTAGCAGTAGGACTACTACCGTACAGTAGTCCCTATGTGAAACACTAGTTGCTTAGATTTTGATTTGTAAAGGTCTCATTTGTTTTTTCAGGACAGAAGAGTGATGACCCCCCCCAATCACCTGATGTGCAATAAGAGAACACCAAATCCACCAAATATGAGACAACAAATGAAAAGAAAGAAACAGCAGCAGCGGTCCAGAGCCACTCCTCAGTCTCAGGCCGCTCCAAAATATTGCACGGACCCGTGCCCACTAGTCTTCTGTTAAGTGAACACTCAGGACATGTGCCCTAACAAATCTGTAAATAAATAATGTCAATACATTCTGCAAAGTGTAATGAAAACAAATGGTTTGGTAACTGTACCCATTCATACAATGATTGCTCAATTAAAATCTGGACATGAAAAGGATTGATGTTGTTTGGATTTTAATAGGGTTACACTGTACAGAAAGCGGAAAGCTGGATGCTGAGGTTAGAGCTCCCAGGAAACAAGAGAGAAAATGAATTTGAAATAAAGAATGCAGATGAAAATTACACAATGAAGAGTGCTTTGTTTTACAGCAGAGTCGAGGGCAGCTCTGTGAAGCTTTGATGTGAGCATCTCTCCCAGGCCTGTTTTCCATGTGCACTGGACAGACACAGGACAGACACAGGACAGACACAGGACAGACACAGGACAGACTTCTGCACTGACTCCAGGGTTTTAGGGCAGCTTCGGAGAGTGCCTGATTATGTTCAAAATGACAGAAATGACATGCATAAAGTATTTATAAGTTACTTTACTTTGACTGCAGCCTATATGGTATGGTTTATGTGAAAAAATATGTCCCACCACAGCCCATAATTGAAGCAGTATTTACACAATATACTTTAGAATCATACTGATCAACTGTCAAGCTACATGTAAAATAACTTGCATCAAAGATTGAATGTATTGCCTTTGCCGTCCTCTGCTCTGACAGTAGAGTCCCGGTGACACAGCCAGCGATAAAAAGCTGGCAGGCATCCAGACTCTTGTGTGTTTTAAATCTGTTCCAGTGTAAAGGTTTTCTTTCCTGCTCAGCCAACATGAAATCATGGTGGGTTAATTTAGTTTAAGCTGATGATTTGATGAAATCGGTAAACTTAGCAGGAGGGAGAATGAATCAGCTTTGCCATGTGATCTATAGCCTAAGTTGTAATGTACACTTTTCCTCCCTGCAGACCAAAGCCTATTCGATAAACCCTACTCTACTGTACTGTGTTTCCAGATGGAGACCAGGAAGCGTCTGGCTAAGATCGTGCTCGTATTCGTGGGACTATTCGCTCTGTGTTGGTTCCCGAACCACGTGCTGTACATGTACCGCTCCTTCCACTACCACCAGACAGACCTGTCCCTGGCCCACCTGGTCATCACGCTGCTGGCTCGTGTGCTCAGCTTCTCCTCCTCCTGTGTGAACCCCTTCGCTCTGTACTTGCTCAGCGAAAGCTTCAGGCGCCACTTCAACAGGTGGGATTTTTTATGCTCACTGCGTACATTTAAATATGAGACATGTTTTATTTAGAGGCTGCTTTTGTGTTAAAATTCATACTCTAGGCTGTATCCATCACAAGGAAAGTGATTACAGATTCATTAAGGGAGGTTCTCTAGTGTAGCTTGAAGTCACAATGTGTAACTTATTAGGCTTGCTTACATGGAAATGTTCCTTTGGCTGTAATGTTCCACAGTATAGCATAAATCATCTCTAAATCCATAGAGAATGGTCATGTCCAAAAAGTATGGCTTTTAACTTTCTGATGATGTGCCACCTCCAGAAAGTTAAAGAGCCCATATTACCCCATTGTCTGATCTGTTATAAACTTGTTTGATCATCACATAAATACCCAGAGTTTTGTTGTGTTTCAGTCACACATGTTTAACACACTGTAAATTTAAGAGAAGTTCTTCTCTCAAACAGAAAATGTGTTAATACAGGAAGGGCTCCACTGTCTTTTTTAACTCCATACACCTTCACTTCAACTCCATACTAGGGATGGGCAATCGATTAAATTTTCTTAATCGATCGTCGGGAGAATTATCGATTAATCATTAACATTTTTTGTATTAAAATTTATCATCATTATTATTACTATCTGCACTACTAATCTGCATAAATAAATTCAACTTTACGACATATAAACCGTAACCACTCTAGAGCCACATCAGCCCGTTTGAGATAATAATGTGTTTAATGCAGCTTTGCGCAACTCTCACAGAAACGAAACTTAAAACCGCATCGCTAATTTGCATAAACTAAGCGCTGATGCGGCATGACTCAGTGGAATACAGGTTAGTGTGACCATATTTGTGTTTGTCAAAACCAGGACACCGTACAGGGGGGGATGGGGACTCGTCATCGACATTGTGCTACTCTCACCTGGCAAAACTTTTTCATGTTTTCGGTGTCCTGGTGAGCTGTTTCCCACTGGACACCGAAAAATATGTGCCTTCTTTGTACATTGGGCACATCGCCTCTCATGTGTCCCGACCGGAATGGAAAGCTTGGAATTTCTTGTACAAGTCATCGTTAAATACGCAACCTACATTCGGTTTGTCGATTAAAATGAACGTAATCGATGAAATTCTTAATGATCAATTATCGATTAATCGACTAATCATGCCCATCCCTACTCCATACACCTTCACACTTCACACATCATTTGGATAATTTCAACCAGAGAATTGTCAATCTCTATTGAACTAAAAGTAAAAGGTAGCTGTTAATTTGAAAGGTGGAACACAAAGTGGAACAGAAGATCATTTTGAGCTTTAGAGAGAGAAATAATAAAGGATTAAGGAAACATATGTGAATGAAACAAAAGACAACTCTGGGTATGTTTTTGATGAAGTCGCAACATTATAACATGGCTTAAAGCTCACAAGAGTCAATTGTGCATAATATAGGACAGGACACTAATTAATTAATAACACATTAATTTCATTATGTGTGTGAAATGTGTCATAAATGTCATAAATCTCTCCACTGTACTTAGTTAAAGCAGGAACTCAATGCCATGATGCCAGAAATTCTCATTTATCTAACTAATTGAAATCATTTGTGAGATATTATCGATTGGGGAAAAAGCTGAACAAAATGTCAGTGCCCATTATCAGGTTGTTCTTTTCACATTTTTCACTCTTTGTTACTTGGCTGAATGGTCACAAAGGCTACTTTTACTTATATTTTCTAAGCCCAACTTTCAGCAAGATCCGTCTGGCGCCATGTAGTCTCTTTTTTTCCCCATTTTCTTTCCAAATGATATTATGCCATTATACTGCAACTAATAATTCTTCAATAAGGACCACTGAATGAAGCATCCAGAAAAAGTAAAGACCTTTGGGACACACTTTGCTACATCTCAGTGTTACTTATTGTTTTTGTCAATTTTGCAACTTTAGAAAAAACAAGGACATGGTCAAACACTGGCTGCCTTATTGATATGCATATAATTAACTTTTTGCACTTTATTGTGCAGTTTATTTCTTGTATTCTCAGACTCTCTTCATATTAAATGTGTACTTTATTTATCATCTTTTACACTTAAAGGTCATCATGTAGCTTTCCTGATGGAGAGTCTGCCACTTGCTTTTTTTCACGGAGATGAATGTTCTTAGCCTCAAATGTTTCTTAGTCTGGCATTGAACTTCTTTATCTCTATGGAAACAGGCCAAGTTACAGGTCAGATCTGTGAGTGGATTTTATGAGCAAAAAAAAAATAAAAATAAAATACATACGATACTTAAAGGTGCACTGTGTCACTTTTCTGGTGGAGGGTCTGCTACCTGCTTGTCTCCATGGGGATGTTGAATATGCCACAGTATGAAAAAAAAATGTTTATCACACTGGAGGCAAGTTACTTGTCAGATCTGTGGAGGGACAAGCCTGTGAATTCATGCAGAATTCAGGTTCATGCAAAGAAATAATCTCTGAATAGCAGACTCTCTACCTTAAAATTTAAATAGTGCACCTTTAAATAATGATGTGCTTTTTTGTTGGACATTCAAGGGAAAACATCCAATCTCAACATGCAAGGTGATGAACCCTTCACCAGAAAAGATATATATTGAACCTTTACTTACATTTTTTTCAATCTACAGTCCATTCAAATTTGATTTCAGTTACAGATAAATCTTGCAGTAATACATCTAGTACTCATTATATAGTATAGTATAGACTCACTGTTTTGCGTGTGTCCTCTGCAGTCAGCTGAAGTGTGGTCGTGGCTCTCGTCCAGAACGCCAGCCCAGCTACCTCCACAGCACCTCCCACATCCGCCTCACCTCCATCAAGAAGACCGCCCCCACCGCCGCCATCGTCGCTCCAGCTGCTAACGGCAAGCACAGACAGGAGGTGGCGCTATAATGATAATGTACTTTCACTCAGAACTTTTTCTACTACAGCCATCAACACACAACAAGACCTCCAAACATGAATACCCAACACGTGTACATATGGGTTAAATGGAAACTCTATTGTCCTTTAAGCAAATTTGGACGTTGCTTTGAGAAGCTGTGGACTGGACGATCTTGCATGTTTTAGACTGACAGAGAAAACCACTTGCTACAAACGTGGACAGTCTTCGATGAAAAGAATAATGTCAAAATGACTTTGCATCAGGTCAGACTTCAACAAACTCAAAGTGCCTGACAGTTCACATGACAGAAACTTCACTTTATTTATTTTCAACATTGCAGTTACAACGTATTCAGCTGGATATGTTATGGACCTGTAGATTTTCAGCATGAGGGCATGGCTAAAATACCACAAATCGCTGGTAATTTTCAGAACCAGAGTTTTTCTTTGATTTTGTGAACCATAGATTCACATACGAGCGTGGCCATGGACTAATATTTGTAAAGCAGTGGGAAGTATAAATGAAATATATACAGAGGATGTGCAATTATCGAAGTGGTTTGGTATGTACGAGTTGTGGCTCATTAAATGCGTGCTGTGTAACTTTTCGTGGGGAGGGTACGCCACATGCTAGTCTCCATGTAGATGCACTTAACTGTTCAGTCTGGAATGATCCATAGTACGGCACAAACTATCTCCATGGAGACAAGCAGGCCAAGGTACAGATCAGTTTGGTGGAAAGGCACTTACACAAGAATGCATGTTTCTAAAGGTATTTCTGAACAATAAAATCACCTCTACTGAAGCAAAGGAATTAACTTTTAATGCCATTCTGTAGAAAATACCCCAAAAAAAAAAAACAAGAATATCTCCCTAAAGACACAAAAGACCCTCCACCAGTCTTATTTATTAGTTAAATCTAGTTCATATTTGTAAGCCTGGTTTATGACTTTCAAAAAATCTTTCTGACATACTGCAGTCAAATACTGCAAAGAGGTGGAGAGGAGTTAAAGAGGTCTTGATTATACTCTTCTTAATACTATTCATTGGATAATTGGAAATATCAAGACATGCAGCAAATATCTGAAAGCTTAAAAGTGCTGTATCTGTCTTCAAAAAATGAAAAACACAACTTTATATTAAACGGTTTGAAATGGTCCAAAGTTATTCCTCACTTACCTTATGCATTCCTAGCATCCTATAGTTTAAAAGTGTTATAAGTTTATAACAAATTTCAAAGGCAAGATTGGAGGCTTGCCATTATGATCATGCTAATAACAACTTCCTGATTCTCACACTATAAAATTGTTAATAAAATAAGATATAAAATTAATGTTGCCCAACTACAGATGAAAAAAATGGCTACACTTTAAATTATGTTTTTGGTCAAAACACATTCTGAGATGCAACACTATCAGTATATACATCAAGAGTATAAAGAAGTTTAGATCCAGTTAGTCCATAACTTCTTATGGAATTTTGGACATAGGACCTAATTTCCTAGTGAGCCAGAGTGTTGGAGACGTGTGGAGACACTTTTCTAAATATTCCATTCAGTCCTTGTATTTGCAGAGGTCACGGGTGCTAGGCTAGCGCATGTCAATGGCCATAGTTAGCCTGCCCCTAAAAACAGATTGTCTGAGAATGTCTGTGTCAATAGAATAATTTTAGAAGTAAAAGCAATTGCATTTGAAGGGTTTATGTCTGAGCAACACCAGCGAGTTGTACTTCCTGATAGAAAGCTTGGAAGCGGCAAACTGTTATCACCTATCACCTATCTTACCGGTAAAGTAAAATTCCGCTGCTGCTGAGAAAATAGTCCCTCAACATGAGATGATTCATACAATGCAAGGTTACTTTTATTTCAAACATTATTCTATCAACATAGACATTCACACGACAGTCTGGCGTAATAATAAATTTGCTTCTGGTGCTTTGTGGAGTCGGTAAGTCTGTTTTTAGTGACAGGCTAACTATGCCCATTGACATGCACTAGCCTAGCACCAGCGAACTCTGCAAATACAAGAACTGGATGGAATATTTTAAAAAGTTTCTCCACACATCTCCAACACTCTGGCTCACTAGGAAATGAGGTCCAATGTCCAAAATTCAGGACTGTCCTTTAATTATAAGCAAGGGGACAGGGACCACTCTACTATTGCTAAAAAGTCAGCACATGCACACTCCTGGTTTGAAACTGAACCCTCAACTTCTTTAACTGCATGACTGATCTGTGCTGCTGTGGTCTCTCACATCAAAAATCTGTATAAAAAGGAGTCAAAAAACAAAAAAACAAACAAACAATAAAAAAAAAAAAACCTTACATATATTTTCTTGCCTATATTCTTTCTCACAAGCTCAATTACCTCTTCATGAATTATTCGGCGTCTGCTTTATTGATGTCTCAGAAACCCTCCAAATTTGAATAAAATTTACTCCCAATAATCACACCCACTCACGCATTTAAATCCTCAAATAAGTGGCTTTGGAATACCCCTGATGATTTGGTTGTTTATGCTCAACAACAGATTAACAGAGTATTTGATGTGAAGTGGTCCTTAATACAAATGTCTCTGTGGAAGGTACGCTTCAAAAGGATTATTTAGTCTGAAGGATAAGTGGTTTTCCAAATTTGAAAAAGGAAACACAATAAGGACACAATTATTTGGGAGTGCGTGTTTAAGATAACTTTTCTCTCACATTTCTTGGATTTTTTCTTTTATATTTGTCTTATCCAAAACAAATAAGTATGACTTTTAATATTCTATAGCCCACAGATAACAATGCTGGTATCGCATATCTGTGCCAAGAGTGAAAAATTTGCTGGACTGAATAGTCTTATGTTAGTTTAGTTTAGTGGAAATAAATGCTGCTTTGAATTTCTGCACTGGTATAGGCAGATACTTAAAGCATATCAAAATCGTTATCGGAACTGAAAAAGCAGGATCTGTGCATTTCCGAAGACTGATCCTGATCTTAAAGACCCTATACTTGATTTTACCCCATGAATTCAAGCAAAATCTGTTCTGCGTCTAACTATGAAGGTTTTCATTATTAGAAAATCAGGAAGTGTGTGTTAGCATTCTTGTCGTTGTCAGAACTACTGTGACACGGAACGCATGAGCTAAAACTGAAAACTGTTTAACTGTTTTTCAAGTTTTTTAAAACAACAAAATTCAGACCATTTTACTAAAATCTTAACTCAGCCTAAATTAAATTAAACCATTGATCTAATTTTGAAGGATTTATCTGATCTGATATTTAGTCCTGACAAAACAAGGTCCCTGTGAAGTGTTTACAGATTACAGTCCTCGCAATTTCATCAATACAAGCTACAAAAAAAATCTAATGTTTTTCTCCAAAACTGCCACAGGTTCGTTGCCCACGACGATTAATATGACTCAAGCTGATTAGTCCTAACAATCCTGATTTGCCAAAATTTGTTTTCAGCTCCACTAAACTCTTCAATTTGCTGAGGAAAGTGCCTATCTCCTTTGCAAAACTGTTATTATTTCCAAGCTGCGTACACTACATTATGTCACCGTGTCAGTACAAAAGAAAAGGCCAGCTTCATAATCTAAATGTTTTCTATACCAGCCTGTACTGTTTATGTGATTGTTAAACTGCATTGTTATTGAAGACCACATAATAGGAGTGGATGCAGGGGGTATAATTATTTATTCATCAAAATCATTACATTTAAAGTTAAATTCTCAAAATCCTGTCTTTAAAATGAAACTAAAGACTAAATCAACTGTCTATATAGTTTTAATAGTAGAATTTTTATTATTTTTATTTTTAACTTGGTGCAATAGGCTTTATTCACGCTTACCCGGAAGACATTTGGAAAGATGCGATTACAACTTCCCTGGCCCAGTTTTCTTCATCTACATGTCACTGTAGCGTTCCATCATGTTTGGCTAATCAACAATTACAACCATACCTCAGTTTTGATCATTTCCCACTGACACACAACTCCGAGCGCACTGGGAACATGTGATTAGAAGAGATGAGGATGCCAAAGAGCACATACATATATAGTCTTCATTTTACTGCTGATCACATTTTCTTTGATGGGTTTTATCACAGTTGATTTGAATAGATCCATGTTAGGTGAGCAAGTACTGGTAACTACACATAGAACTATAGATCCATGTAACTACACCAGAAGATGTAATTGCATCTTTCCAAACGTCTTCCTAGTTTGTACTTGTCAAGGAAATTCTGCTCACAAGACAATTCTGTTAGAAAAACACTCAGAATGACCAAGAGTAGTTTATACTTGCGCACGGAGAGTTGCGAGGCTGTCTGTCTGCTTCCTGCTCTACTCTGCCGCACACCTCTCCGAGCAGCCCTTTTATTTGAAAATCCTGGCATATTACATATTGTTCACATGTTATCTCATGACTAACAATCTGATTACATATCTCAATGACAGTCTCTTACGTTGGAGTTTCCCAAGGTTTTCAGTTTAGCATATGGTGGGACAAACCCTAGTTGTTTGCGACCATGGTAGATTAGCTTAATATGTCAGTTGACATGTCATATGTCATATCAGCTGCTTGTTTTTATGTTCAATATATCTCGAAAACAAAACGCCAAAGCAATGTTGATTATATCATGATTAATATTTAAATGATTCACCCTTTAAATGATTAATACTTTAATGAAAGAATTACATATATAAATGAGTAACACTTTAATGAGACTTTAACCAAAGAAATACATTTATATATCATAAAATTTTCTAACAGTACGCAAGTGTGAATAGAGCCTATTGCAGCTTTGTGTTCAAAAACAATGAAAAACAATTAAAAAATGAGTAATGTATTTTTCGGACTATAAGTCACACTTTTTTCATGGTTTGGGTGGTCCTGTAACTTATATATTAAAATTTTCACACTGACAGTTGCAAGAGGGTGCTCTAGGTTTGTATGCCAGTATCTGCTACTTCTATTACTCCTGTACTGCTGTCACTGCTCATGTATCCTGAAGAAAAAGCTGTTGTC